TTAGTATTTGCCTGTATATATGCAGTTTCATGTTTAGATACAGATTTTTTTTCTTGTTTTTCCTCTTTGGGTTTCACTGGACTTTCTCAGTCTGTACGGTTGTCTTTTCATCAGTTCTGGAAACTCTCAGTCAGTCTCTTTTCAGACATTGCCTCTACACCTTCTTAAATTCTAGTTAAGCTTGTTAGAATTTGTTACTTGATCTTCCGTTATCTCTTGACCCCGTTTACATACTTCTCTGTGTTTCTTTCTTTGGGTTACATTCTAGGTAATTTCTTCCATTCTATCTTCCAATTCACATACTCTCTTTTCTGCTATGGAACCCATACATTGCACTTGGCGATTTTAGTCATTGTATTTTTCATTCCTAGAAGTTCCATCTTGATCTTCCAAAAATCTGCTTTGGAACTTTTATTTATTCATTTTAATTTTTATTTATTTATGATAGTCACACAGAGAGAGAGAGAGAGGCAGAGACATAGGCAGAGGGAGAAGCAGGCTCCATGCACCGGGAGCCCGACGTGGGATTCGATCCTGGGTCTCCAGGATCGCGCCCTGGGCCAAAGGCAGGTGCTAAACTGCTGCGCCACCCAGGGATCCCTGCTTTGGAATTTTAAAAACTTTTTTTATGAAACATTTAATAATTTTCTCAGTAATCGTAATTTTTTCAGTAATCAGTGAGCACCCTTATACATACCACCTGTGTTCATTAATTGCTAAGATTTTCCATATTTGCTTTATGTTTTATTTAGCTGTTTCAAAATTGGCATTCAGTCCTAAATACTTTAGCTTGTATCTCCTAAGGATACTGACATTCTCTTACCCAACCATGATATCAGATCACAACCTGTGTAAGATTTTACAGTGTCTTGCTCTTTCTTACCCATGTTTTTAATACTTTAACATTTTTCATTAAACTTTTATGATCCATTTCTGATCATTCTGTTAACTCCAGTCATTGTTAGGTCTCTTCTATGATGCTTTCTATGCTTTATGATTTGAGGCTGTAACAACTTACTTTCTGCAACTTTCTTTCTTTCTTTTTCTTTCTTTCTTTCTTTCTTTCTTTCTTTCTTTCTTCTCTTCTTCTTTCTTCTCTCTCTCTCTCTCTCTTTTCTTTTCTTTCTTTCTTTCTTTCTTTCTTTCTTTCTTTCTTTCTTTCTTTCTTTCTTTCTTTCTTTCATTTTATTTATTTATTCATGAGAGACACAGAGCGAGAGAGAGAGGCAGAGACATAGGCAGAGGGAGAAGCAGGCTCCATGCAGGGAACCTGATGCGGGACTGGATCCTGGGACTCCAGGATCATGTCCTAGGCCGAAGGCAGATGCTTAACTGCTGAACCACCCAGGCATTCCTGCAACTTTCTTTTGTAATTATGGAGTCATGTAGGTTCCTCCTGCAAGGTTTTGTTAGCTTTTGCCTGGTAGCCCAGGACAACTTTATTATTATTATTATTATTATTATTATTATTATTATTATTTTAAATATTTTATTTATTTATTCATGAGAGACACAGAGAGAGAGAGAAGCTGAGACACAGGCAGAGGGAGAAGCAGGCCCCAAGCAGGGAGCTGACGTGGGACTCGATCCCAGGTCTCCAGGATCACATCCTGAGTTGAAGGCGGCACTAAACCGCTGAGCCACCAGGGCTGCCCTATTATTATTTTTTAAAGATTTTATTTATTTATTTTTTGCACCATTATTTATTTACTTTTAAAGATTTTATTTATTTATTTGAGAGACAGAGATAGCGATAGAGAACAGGAGTGGGGAGGAGATGCAGGCTGTCTGCTGAGCAGGGCGCCCTATGCAGGGCAATCTTAGGACCCCAGGATTATGACCTGAGCTGAAAAAGCTCAACCTACTGAGCAAGCCAGGCACCCTAAGATTTTATTTTTTAAAGTAATCTCTACACCCAAGGTGGAGCTCAAAGTCACAATCCTGAGGTCCAGCGTCACACACTCTACCAACTTAGCTAGCCAGGCACCCCCAGAATGACTTTAAATTCTTGATTTGAGGCTTTCTGGTCTATCCATCAGATATGAATTTGGCATGAAAATGTTATATGAAGGTTGTGGTTATAATGTCTCAGGAGAAAAAAAAATTGTTTGGACGTGAAGTTTTTCCTTGTCTGGTAGGGGGCCCTAATTCTAATTTACGTTCATGTGTAGGTCTTTTGGGTCCCAGCTTTATTACAGATTATGGATGGGCTGTACTGTGTATCCATCTGACCAAGAAAGTAGACACTTAATATCACTTTAGCAAATATCAATATTAGTAAAAACTGTGTTCTGTTTTCTTTTCTGAGTTGCCCATTTCACTTAATTTTTGAGGCTTTGTGAATTTCTTAAACACTTGCCAGCCTATTGAATTAGGTAAAATGAATATTTTTATAGCTTATCAAAATGTTTTTTGTTAGACTGTTGGTCAGAGTACATATTTTGCCATATGGCTGAAATACAAGTCCTTTAGTAAAACAATTTTTTAAATGTGTTATCTTAAATGTTGCAGAAAGAATATTATAAAAGGATGAGAAAGAAAGAGACAATTTATGCATAAATATGTCATTGTTCTTGATTTCATGAAAATGTTGATTCGGAATATAATAAAAAGGCTCCCCCCCAAAAAAAAAAGGCTTTTAAAAGTATATTGATTTTGGGGAGAATTGTAATAAGTTAAAGACTGTAATTTTTTGAGTCCCACTGGACCTGGGTGTCCATCTGAGTTCTTTCACTAGCTGTGTGACTTTATTTTATTTTATTTTATTTTATTTTATTTTATTTTATTTTATTTTTTGCTGTGTGACTTTTAATGGTTTAATTTCTTTGTATTTATCTATAAAATGGGGTAAGTGAGGGCAGTTTTGAGGATCAAAACAGATTATATATGATTTAATTTCTTCATATTTATTTATCTATAGAATGGGGTAAGTGAGGGCAGTTTTGAAGATCAAAACAGATTATATACAGTAAAGGGCTCAGCCTGGTGCCTGACACATAGAGTAGATGTTAGCTGCTTTTAATTTTAGCCATTCTCTTTCCAGAAGTGTTCAAAGTGTTAAATGTGAAATATCTCACATTATACATGTAATATTGTAAAACTGAATATGGGTATGTGGGAGACATAACCATAAAGGGAAAAGCAAGAAAGACATCACAGTGTCAGAAGATAAGGGGGAAAATATGAAGCTTGGCAGGTGACCAAAGCCAAGAAGACCCTCTGGTTCCCCTCAGCTTTCCGAGACTTGGATTTAGTAATAGTGATATTCTCCACTTTGGCCTTTTCTTTTGTGTTCTGTTTAGTTACTTCAGGAGCACATATATCCCTACCTCTTTGGGTCAGAGGGAGTTCTGACTTCCTTAGCCCAAGGGAGCTGCCCAGCATACTTTTGGACAAGGAATCTTGTTCCCTTCTATAGGGACCTCAAGGATAGAGATTTTCATTCTTACCAATTCAACAAGGAACTGTTTGGCATCCCCAGAGTTCTGGAAATACCTTATTAGAAAAGAGACATAGTTGCATTCTTCTGAATAGAAAAATTTATAATAAGAATACAGAAATATATACCATGCAGCATCAGCATATATCAGATAATATGAAACACTTAGACTTTCTCCCTCTTCCTCCTGGTAGACCAGGCCTCAATGTAATTCTTGTATAACTTTTTATTAGAGCTCCAACATAGAGCGAAATAAGAGGGAATTGTGTAGCCCACCTCCATCTAACCTTTTGCTCTAGATTTTTGCATGCCCAAAGACAAAAGTGTGTCTTATTCATCATCTTTGTATATTTCTCTTGGTACTACTATTGTCACTTTAGTTTTTTAGTAAAGGAAATTCACTCATTTGAAATGTTTGTCTTAATCCTCTATGGAAATATCAGTTTATGGGAAGGTTAAGGCAGAGCTCGTTTGGGCTCCTCTCAGAGTCTCTGCTGCAATTTTCGGAAAGGAAACCCCAGGGAAACCCCTGAGCACAGGCTTCACAGGAGCAGTGGCTGCTCAGAAGACAACACTCTCAATGCTTTATCAGGTGCTGTCTGGAGAACAGAAATAATGGGCTAAAGGCAGAAATGCTGATGTCTCCACTTTCCCAACTTAGCGCAAACATCTTCTTTATCTTTGGTGGATTTGGTGCCACAGAGGCGGCTCCAAGAAGCCTTAAATGCAAGTGTGATTGCTTTTACAATCCTTGCTTTGAAAACGTGGCATTTGGGGATTTCCTTGACTTGAATTCTTTTTTTTAAAAGGAGTAGATTCATAGCATCCACTGTCAGTGCCATTTTCCTTTCTGTGATGACTTGTTCACAGTTTACATGAAAGGATTCAGGAAGTAAGACATAAACATAAATAGATAAATGAACAAATAAATGAAAAGCTCTGCTGTCTTTGTCACATAGCGAAAAGGCTTGACTATAACATAATGGGAACACAGCAGCTGTTTGATTAAAACTTTAGGATTTTTCCTGAAAACTTCGAAGCATGTCTGCATTTTTTTTCTTTTTAAATAACACTATGATATGGGAGAAGTGGTTGCCTCTAATGCCATGGTTACAATGGAGCTTTTGAATGTATCATCATCCCTGTTACTGCACGTGCTAGTTTGAAATACTCTCACAACTGGGGCTTGCTTCCCTTCTGTCATGTCCATCCTTTGGAAGACTGGGAAAGTGATTTGTAAATAATTTGCTTCTTGTCACCATACTTTTTTTTTTTAAGTTGTGTTTTCTGTTTGTTTTACCATCTTAACCCTTTTGAAGTGTACAGATAAGTGGTATTAAGTGCATTCATAATGTCATCAGTAGTTTCCCCCCCTTATCAACAAGATATCTGTTCCAAGACCCCCAGTGGATACCTGAAACTGGATAGTATTAAGCCCAATAATGTACTATGTTTTTTTCTATACATAAACACCTTTGATAAAATTTAATTCAAAAATTAGGCACAGTAAGAGATTAACAACAATAATAAAGTAGAACAACTATAACAATATACTGTAAGTTTGTGAATATTCTCGCTGTTCTGATTTTGTAATAATCAAAGCAGGCTAAACATTCACTATATTAACACCATGCATGTGTCCCCAGACCTAGTTCTTTCCTTAGGTCTGATTTTATCAAGGCTGGTGATAAATCAAGTCTGATTTATATGATGCACATCATATGTGGGAAATGTCTGTGACTCTGGGTATCTGATCATCCTTGAGAAATGACAGCACAGCTAGTGCAATAACTTTTTAAAATAACCATTGCTAATTTGATGATTACCAGTTGCCATTAAATGAGTTGTAAAACTAAAAAGAAAAAAAGTTATGTGAATGTGGTCTTTCTTTCTTTCCAATATCTTACTGTACTCTTCATTGTATTCTTGTGATGATGTGAAATGATGATGATAAAATGCTTATGTGATGAGAGGAAGTGAGGTGAGTGACATAGGCACTGTTATATAGCATTAGGCTACTATTATTGACCTCCTGATGGTGTTTGAGAAGGAAGATCATTCTGCTTTTGGACCACAGTTGACCACAGGTAACAGAAGCTGTGAAAAGCAAAACTGCGGATAAGGGGACTACTGTATGATCATCACCACCATCCGTCTCCATAACTCTTTTCATCTTGTAAAACTGAAACTCTATATTCATTAAACAATAACTTCCCTTTTCTCCTTCACTCCAGCTACTGGCAACTACTAAGCTATTTTCTATCTCTATGATTTTGACTACTTTAAGGTATTTCATATAAATAGAATCAAACAATATTTGTCTTTTTGTGACTGGTTTATTTCACCAAGCATAGTTCCCAAGGTTCATTCATGTTGTAACATATTGCAGAATTTCCCCTACTTTTTAAGGCCAAGAAACATTCCATTGTATGTATACACATTTTGCTTATCCATTCATTTGTCAATGGACACCTGGGTTGTTTTCATGTTTTAGCTATTACGAATAATGCTGCAGTGAACATGACTGTACACCTGCCTCTTCAAGACCATGCTTTCAGTTCTATTGGGTATATACCCAGAAGAGGAATTGCTGGGTCATTTGGTAATTCTATTTTGAATATTCTGAGGAACTTCCATACTATTTTGCACAGAGGCTATACATTTTACTCTCCTACTACTAGTGCACAAGGTTTCTAATTTCTCCACTTACTCACCAACTGCAGTGTTCTGGGATTTTTTCGATAGTAGCCATCCTGATGGCTGTGAGGTGCTTTTTCATTGTAGTTTTTACTTGCATTTTTTTAAAAAAAGATTTTATTTATTTATTAATGGGAGACCCAGAGAGAGAGACAGAGAGACAGAGACACAAGCAGAGGGAGAAGGAAGCTCCATGGAAGGAGCCCAACATGGGACTTGATCCCCGGACTCCAGGATCACACCCTGGGCCAAAGGTAGGCGCTAAACCACTGAGCCACCCAGGGATCCCCTACTAGCATTTTTCTTCTAATTCGTGATGTTGAGCATCTTTTCATGTGTTTATTGGCCATTTGCATATCTTCTTTGGAGAAATGCCTATTCTAGTCCCTTGCCTACCCATAATTTTTAAAAGCAAAACAAGCAGCTTTGCAGTGTTCAGAGGCAATTTTAAGTGATGAGTAAGAACTCAGGCTCAGGATTTAGACAGCTCCAGACTGATACCATGGCTTTACCAGCTCTGTGACATTGAGCAGGTTACTTCATTTCTCTAGACTTCCATTTCTTCTGTAAAATGGGGAGAATAATAGTTGAATCTGTCTCACTGAGTTCTTCACTGCAATATCACCTAAGCTGATATTACAGATACCAGATATATGGGATAGTATTTGCCCTGTTGTAAGTATTTGATAAATATTAACTGCCATGTTATTGGAATCATGAGCCAGTCTTATAAAACGCCTTTTATAGGGCACCTGAATGGCTCAGTCAGTTAAGCGTCTGGCTTTTGATTTCAGCTTAGGTCTTGAGTCTTGATCTTAAGATCGTGAATTCAAGCCCTGTGTTGAGCTCTATGCTGGGTGTGGAGCCTACTTTTTAAAAAATTTATACACACACACACACACACACACACACACACACACCTTTTAGATGTTAGTTGCCTTCTTATTTTGATAGTATAATTCATTTCATTCTTGAGAATTTTCACTTGTTTTTCTAGTTCATGCCTATTTACTGTCTCAGTCACTGTACTATTAGGTGAATCCATGTGGAATTGCAATTTTTGTAAGTCATAAACCATGTCTGTCAGTAGTTTCATGTGATTCAACTTAATGTAATAGAATCTGAGTGTCTAATATATGCCAGAGTGCCTACCATGCTAATTCATTCATTCTTCCTAGCTTCCCTATAAAGTAGGTGTTGTTTTTCCCATTTTGGGATGGAGAAACTGAGGCTCTCAGAGATGAACAAACATGCCTGAATTTACACAACTAGTAAGTAATGAAGCCAGCTTTCAAGCCAGATCTTGTTGAATTCAAAGCTCGATCATTTTCTTTTTTTCAAAGTTTTTATTTTGATTCTAGATGGCTAACATACAGTTGTTACATGTTACAGTGTACAGTGTAGTGATTCAACACTTCCATGCATCACCTGGTACTCATCATGACAAGTGCACTCCTTAATCCCCATTACCTATTAACCCATCCTCCCACCACCTCCCTTCTGGCAACCATCAGTTTGTTCTCTATAAGAGTCTGTTTCTTGGTTTCTCTCTCTTTTTTTTCCCTTGTGCTGGTTTGTTTTGTTTCTTAAATTCCACATATGAGTAAGATCATATGGTATTTGTCTTTCTCTGACTGACTTATTTGGCTTATAGTACTCTCTAGCTCCATCCAAGTCATTGCAAATGGCAAAGTTTCATTCTTTTTTTTTTTTTTTTTTTTATGGCTAAATAAGATTCCTGTGTGTGTGCGCGCCACATCTTCTTTATTCATTCATCAATTGATGGACACTTGGGCTGCTTCCATATTTTGGCTATTGTAGATAATGCTGCTATAAACATAGGGGTGCATGTATCCCTTTGAATTAGTGTTTTTGTATTCTTTGGGTAAATACCCAGTAGTGTAATTGCTTGAATGTAGGGTAGTTCTATTTTTAACTTTTTTTTTTATTTAAGATTTTACTTATTCATGAGAGAGAGAGAGAGAGAGAGAGAGAGAGAGAGAAAGGCAGAGAAAGGAGGAGCAGGCTCCATGCAAGGAACCCAATATGGGACTTGATCCTGGGACTCCGGGATCACACCCTGAGCCAAAGGCAGACAGACACCTAGCCTCTGAGTCACCTAGGCATCCCTATTTTTAACTCTTTGAGGAACCTCTATACTGTTTTCCACAGTGACTGCACCAGTTTGCATTCCCACAAATAGTACACGAGTGTTCCTTTTTCTCCACATCCTTAGCACATTTTCTTTCCAATTTCTACCACATAAACAGTCTCAGAAACAGTCTTCCCCAATTCTTTGCCCAATAAAGATGAAAGTTAGAGAAACTACACTATTTCTTCTTAGTTGCTGGTGATTTGGGTTTTCTTCAATACAGTGAGCATACGTAGTAGTTCTGTGTTCATGTGCATTTTGTGCTTTTGTCTCACTTTTTCATATTTGTAATATAACATGTGCAAATGTTGGCTGCAGCTATCTAAGGCTCTTTCAGAAAGGTGCTGTAGAGTGAAAATAACTTAGGGTCTGCCTTCAACTCATTTCTCATGGCCACCATCATGTTCACCACTTATTGATCATCTCTTCTGTGCAAGGACTGTGCTAGGTGCTTTACCTAATGTCCCTATGATTTATATAGAGTAAGGGCTTAAGTCCTGTACAGTATGGAAGGAAACTGAGGCTAAATGGGATTATATGATTTAGCCAAGAGCATAGGACTCTCTTCAGAGGGTCAAGTGTTTTTTACTAAACCCCATTTCCTCCCATTCTTAGAACGAGCCTCCTAGAGGGGAAATGAGGACAACCTTTCTATAGGACACTGTAGCACACTTGGGTGTTAACCCTACTGAATTTTCCCGTTTCCTTGCCCGTTTCCTTTCCTCCACCGGTTTGCCTTTTCTTTTCCTTCTTCCTTTCTTCCCTCTGTTTATTCCTTCCTCCCTCCTTCCATTTCTTCCACCCACTCTCAGTCTCTTTCCTTCCTTCCTTTCTCTAAACATACCTAATGAGGTTTAAATACCAAGATTAAGAAACTACTTAATGTATTTCCTGAAGAAAATTGGATTCTTAAAATATTCCCATTTGATTTTTTTTCTGGCACTAAAAATTTGCTTTCAGAGGAATTACCATTTTTAAAAATATGCTACTAAAACAAGTTAGATTGAATTCTTATCAGCTTTTAAAAGAGTGACCTCAGTCTTTTAAATAATAAGATTTGGAAAAATTGCTTAATGTCTGAGTTTAAGAATGACATGTTTTGAGTTCTAAGGAAAGCCTGTTTGACCTAGCACCATACTTATTCCTAAACTCAGTACCAGAACCAACTTTCTTACTCAGTCTAGGAACTGTGCTGGTGAAACCTCATCTGTTTGTAGCTGGAGGTTGCACTTTTATTCTTTTGTTGTCCCATTGTTTCCTTTAGGGTGAGGGAGAATAATTAAGGATAACATCTTTTCTGAGCAGCTGGAATCAAATTCCAGCTGACTGCAGCACCTGCAAAGATGGCACCTCTGCCTCTGGGTGGCAGGGTGGGGTGCCAGCTATGGAGCTGGTGACAGTGGGCTCCAGAGTGCAGAGATGTGACTGTGTCGCACCACTCCTGCCCTTCTGTGAGCTTCAGATGGTGGCAGTACCAGTGAATGCAAAGTGTCTGTTTTAGACTAATTAGAGGGATGATTTGTGAAACAGTGGCTATTTATTTAATTAATCACCAGCATAAAGCCATAAAACCCATATTTTAAAAATCCCTGTTAGTTTGCCATGTGGTTAATAGATTGGGGCACATTAAAAAGTGACATGGTGATGTATTAAAAATGTTCCACCTAAGGTTCCTTCAGAAAGGAGTGGAAGCTGTCTGCTTTCAGATGCTGAAGTGTTACCTGCCAGGATTTGACCCATCAGAGGTTTTAATGTTTGTAAAGGCATTTATCTTTTGAATAGCATCCTCATTAGGACATGTTCTCTTGAAATAATTCAAAATGTAAAAATGTGTGTAGAATTTT